CAACAAATACTTGCCACAACTTGCTAATCTTTTAGAAGTTTTTTGCAAAGCACTTGCAGTATCCATTGTTAACTTTTTCTCTCTTAATTTTGAATTTACGCATTTCAAATTTTCAGCAAAATAGGAAATATAGTTCTCTAAGAAATCTATTTGCCAATCATTGACTGAAGTAATAGACTTTCTTCGAATATCATTTAATCTAATATCTAGACCTTTTGCTTTACTGTTGACAATAAGCCACCACTTAACAACTGTTTCAATAAAAAGTGCAGTATCTTCAGCTTCAGGAAATTTTAAACATAATGCTGCAACTGTTTCATCACAAAAAACTTTAAGAACTAATCCAACATTTTGTCGTTCAATTGGTTTTGGTGATACAGCTTTTTGTGTTAATATAACTTGCTCGCTTAGAATCTGTTTCATTATTAATAACATAACTAACAGCATTCTCCAGTTGAGAATAATATTTAATAACTCCTTTGTTTAAAAAAGACAGTTTAATTTGTAAAAGTTGGCTATATCCAGTAAAATAAATATCTCCAGAATCTTCTAAAGTTATATATATTGAAAACTTAGGTACTGGTCCACAATGTTCATGATATTAAAGATATATTTTTTCTTTTTCAACAAAATATTCTTTTTCAACAAAATATAATTTTGCTTCACAGTTATTTATTATTGACTTTAAATTTTTTACAATTGAATTAAATTGAATAACGTCCATTTTTTTGAAGTTTTCGAACTCATCAGGTAAATTATTTCTTTCAGAGCATATTAACCCAGTGACATCTCGTTTTCTAGACACTATTGGAATACAAGACACTGGTATACCTTTAAAGACTGATGGAGGATGCACTGGAACAAAACTACCACCTTTGACTTTTTTTAATTCATGCATCTTTAGGCCAGTGCTGAGCACAAATTTGCTTATAATCTGTAAACACAAAGTTTGCATTTGGAAGTTTTTTAATCCATAACTCGCGATCCTCGGATTTAAAGGGGAATCTATACATTGTGACATAAACATTATCTTTTACTTTTGATGTGTAATTTGAGGAGCAACCATAAACGCAGCATTTATTAGGCATTTTACGAGTTTAACGATTATAGTTTAAATCAAAAAACCAAAATCCTCATTGAAACTATACTTCTCCGTAAAAAAGTCGGCCTTTGCTAATTTTACGAAAAATGAGCTGTCGCGGCCTGTTTAAGAAGGCCTTAAGCTAATGAACACTATGTAGCTCTATCCCTCGCTCCATCAAACATTACTAAAGCAGCAGAAGAAAAGATTCAGCTTATACTTTGAAAAGAACTTTTAAAAGTGTTGATGTAGCTCAGATGAGACGAAGTATTGGTTTCTTGATTTAAACAACTATGAAATTAGAGGCGGCATTTGATCTTAAAACGCAAACTGATTTAAGTGATTTACAATAACAAATGTTGAAAAATTCTGTCCTTTCTCATAATGTAAAAATATATCCTAGTCTTAATAAGTTTGGGGAAGAAAGACTGAAATGTTATCTTATGAAAGGTGTTCAATTCAATGAAATGCCAGCAAAATGCTCATTACAAAGTATGCCCAAATCATGCAGTTCCTAGAACTATAAATATGATTGATTTAAGGAAAACAAGAAAAAATTTAAAAGCATTAATTTTACTGAAAAGTCAAAGCAAGAAGATAGCCTGTTTAGCACAGCAATTGTAGCTGTTCTGTTTAATGTTGAAACCCTTGACTTTTGGAAAAATTCTAAATGTCTAGCTGCCACTTTTGTAGACCCTTTTACTTGGAATATAAAAAAGAGACAGCAGAGTTGTGCAAAAAAGAAGAAACTGATCTTCAAACTTAAATGAATTACCTAAAATCATTCTCAACAGAATTTAATATTGCTTATACATTAATGACAAATAATGTTACTTTTACAATTGATATGACCATGTTCAATCGAAAGTTATAAATTTATTGACTGACACAAAGTCAACTCAGTCTTGTAATGTGTGTGGTTCTAAGCCCAAACAGATGAATGATATAGATTTAGTTAAAAAAAAAGCCTGTAAATGAGGAAGCACTTAAACTAGATATTTCAAATTTGTACTGTTGGATAAGGTCTTTTGATTTCATATTACATTTAGGTTGTAAAATGGAAATCCAGAAGTTTCAAGCTAGAACTGAAAAAGAGAAACTTCCTGTAAATTTAAAGAAGAGTTTGATTAAATCAAAGTTCAGAGAAAAGTTGAGTCTCATTGTTGACCAGTCATAGTAGGCTTTGGTAAAAGCAATAATTGAAATACTTTGAGAAGAGCATTTGAAAAAGCCATCTAACGCTCGTTTTAACGCGTACATGTACGTTATACTGGTAATTAAAATAATATCTAGTTAATAATTTGAATTCCTTGACTATAAAATTACTTATTTTTATGTATAGTACCTAATGTACATCTATTTAATAGTTAGATCTAAATCTGGGTCACTGTGCGTGTCAAAGTTCCAGCGTTGTCAAAGGTTTCAGACTTGAAAAAACCAGTAGCGATGAGTTCTCTTTTAACTGATTTGTTGTCATGAACCTAATTAGGCTATTATTTTGACATATATAATTGGTAGGGTCAGAAGATAATACTTCCACGTTCTGAGCTAATTTTTCGCTAAGTACACTTGTAATAATGCATCAGATTGTTCATTTGCGAATAATTTTGTCAAGAAAGACGCAACAACATTTAGACTTTTAATTTGTTTTAAAATTGCCTTTTTCTTTCTTTTGCCTCGCTCTTTTTTTTGCTAGGCTCATCGATATTAACGTTATTCATTGATTACTTCAGACTTCTTCTTGATAAATTTTTCTGAAAGTTCTGATCATTTTCACTTTTATTTTTATGTATAAAAATTATTTGAAATACTTTACTTTTAAAAAAAAATTCTTTTTTAAATTTGTTTCGCCGTGTAGACAATACAGCAGACAAATTTTCTTTCTCGAATATGTATAAAAGAAAACTACTTGTTTTCCTTTTTTTATTTTTTAACAGGTTCAAGATTCAAAAATAGAATATAAAAGTAAATTGTGACTTTTATTTTCAATTAATATAATTCGTTTAAAGAATTTTTTTTTTAATTAATTAAAAAAAAATTAATGTCTGGCCTTATCTAATGACTGGCCTCTCGAAACTCACTGGCCCCGCAGCAGCTTCCTAGGCTAAACACGGGTAAAGACGGGACTTCTTAATGAGACATAATAGAGTTGAACGAAAATATTTTAGCAAATGCTGTGGATTATTGATAAGAAAACAACTGTCGAGGCTACAAATCTGTTAAACAAGGTGGTTATAATGTCGATCCTAGAACTATCATTCTCGTTTTAGATAGTGCTAAAATTGGTGAAAATAAAAACCATTTTCCAATTTTTCAACAAAGGATAACGAGAATGCACAAGTATTGTATGCATAAAAAAAGCAAAACAAAAAAACAGATGTCTACAAGGTATTACAAAAAAGATATCGTATGCATGCTAATACAAATCTAAAAAATCATCGTTTGTACTGTAAGCTTTCACCAAATGCAGAAAAAGCAATACTCACAAATGAACTATTGCATTCTTTCTGGTCAAGATTTATGGTAAAGCACCCCAGTCAAATAAAACAAGGAAAAATTTCTATGAACCGTGCTTTTAATTGCACTACAGAAATGGGTAAAAGTAATGAGCTAGTCGAAGAACTTAAAATGAAATATCATTAAATATATTTGTTTCCCCAAAATAATGGTCTGTACAGAAAGTCCCAATTGTTTCATCCCCTCACGAAGAGGTTCTCGTGATTATTACATAAAAAACCCCGATAACGCATATAGAGTTATCCATGATCTTACTGAATCTCCATTACCTATTGAAGATGTTCCGCAATTGCTACCATTTTCAAAGGTTACCCCAAAAGATATCTCTATAAAAACCATAAAAGTAACTCAACAATAATCAACACTAAACTAGAATAAACACTAAACTCAACAATAAATAAATGGACGGGAAAAAGGTCCTAGAAGTGATAACTGAAAAAAAAAACGTGAAAAAGAAAAAAAAGACGGGATAAAGCAGGTGAATAACAAATATCGTGTGATAATAAAGGAACCCTCGAATTTTGTAAAGTACTTTTTTTTTTTTGAGGAAATTCTACAAGAAAAAAATAAAAAATAATTAAAAATTGACAATTGTGCTTTACACCTTTATTTCGAAACCCGTATCATCTGGCCCTGTCAGAAAAATATTTTTTAAATTTAAGCTTCAAGTCATTTTCTTTTAATAAAAATAAATGGCTTCCATTTAACCTAACTTTTCAAAGGCATAGCATGAATTTTTAATTGTCTTATTAAACTACTTTTGTTATCAATTTTTCTGTTTTTACTATTTTACCAGTGGAATTCCAACCAAAACAGCCCCACATCTAAACACTGCTTCCACCATATTTTACAGCCAATAATATACACTGTTTTATCATACATTCAACTGTTTTTATTTTCAGAAAATCAATCTTCTTTTAAAATCAAAGATTTAAAACTTCGACACATCGGTCCTCGTTTACAGACATCGATGGTCCATTTTTTATTTAGTTTTGCCTACTTAATTATCTTATACTTTTATCATTTTAATCAAAGCATTATAATCCAAATAGTTTTATGTTTTTTAAATTATCTAATGAGCATTAAACATAAAAAATAGGTAAAATAAAAAATCGCATTTTTTATTTAAGTTTTTCTAAAAAATAAGTTGATTGATTTTATGATCAATCCAATGATACAAGTACTTGTGCATTACCTTAACTTGTTTTGTTCTATAATTGGGTATATTGCGTCTGTTTTATCTTTTTATTCACTTTTTTGCGAATTTTAATTAATCAAGTCAAATATTTAATCAATTTTTGACGCGAGTTGTTTTTATTAATGACATTTAGATTTGTTTAAATTAAAATTATTACAAATTATTCTTTTAAAAATATATATTTTTTTTACCTTTATTTTGAAATTATTCTAATATTATTTATGTAGCTATATTGACATATTTTTACCGGGACATATGAAGTTATAAATATTGTAAAGAAAATGAATATTGACGAAAATTTCAAAACATGGTTTAGAGAAAATTTATCTAATTTGCTTGGATTTCCAGCTGGGGATGACTTGATTAAGTAAGGAATTTGTTTTATTTATGAGTCTGCAATTTAGATTCCGAAAGAAATACTTCACTAAGCACTCATAGCTGTAACTGAAACCATATGCAAAGCTTTGGACTAAAAACAGTTTTTTTTGTAAAGTGCTTCTTGATTTGCAAAACGCATTTGATACTATCAACCATAAAGTTCTATTATCAAAACTATATCATTGTGGTGCAAGGGGAATTGCTCTGAACTGGTTTAAATCATATCTAAACCATCTTCCTCAAAGTACTACTGTTGGTAATATCTCTTCTACTATTAAGTTTACGTCTATAGGTATTCCTCAGGGTTAGCCGTTCCAGAGGATTTTTTTTTTGTCAATATATTTATATAAACTTCAAAAGACTTAAAAAATGAGCTTCAAAAGACTTAAAAAACGAGGGGTCTTTTAACTCTAGAAGTTTATTGGATCCAAAGTTATTGCATTTTTTGTGATGGAAACAGTTTTTTGGAAGTTTACTTCATTTTTTGAAGTAAACTTCCTTAAGTATGGCAAATTTGCCTGAAATGGAACCGAAATGAAGTAAAAAGACATCCAAAATCAAACGCAAAGTTCAAAACAAACAATTCGCAAAGAAATAAAATATACATAATTTTTAAACAAAATTCCAAAGTACCATTTCTTCAAGAAAATATGAATACTTGGTTTGAATAGAGAAAGGCTATACTTGCTTTTTTCATAAGGAACCTTTTAAGAAAAAGTTTTTTTAAAATCAAAACAGCCTTAAAGTTTTACTTCCTTAAGTATAGCAAATTTCCCTGAAATGGCACCGAAAGGAAGTAAAAAGGCATCCAAAATCAAACGCAAAGTTTAAAACAAACAATACGCAAAGAAATAAAAATAAAATATACATAATTTTTAAACAAAATTTTAAAGTACCATTTCTTCAAGAAAATATGAATACTTGGTTTGAATAGAGAAAGGCTTTTTTTATAAGGAACCTTTTAAGAAAAAGTTTTTTTAAAATCAAAACAGCCTTAAAGTTTTTAAACGTTGAGAACTTAGAAATTATGTATAAATTTTAAAAAGGTTTTTCATTCCATTAGATTCCTTATTCTTTTTTTAATCTATATGTAAATTTTCAAACAAATTTGATGTGTTTTGGTACTTAGGAAATCTTAATTTCAATAATTACTTTTGAAAAAATGTTTCCTACTGCAAGTTTTTTTTAATAAAAAGTGGTCTTTAGACATAAATAATATATAAAAGAAGCCATATTAAACATAGTAATTTCTATATATAGTTGGGAAGAAGTTAAGTCAAATTAGTTGATGCAAAAAACCTGAAGGTTCTAGCTTTATTATAAAAAAAGACATAAAAGAGTAAAGTTGATGAAAATTAAGTTTTTCTAATCAAATGTTTTTCGTTACGCTGTGGAATCATTATCAGGGTTCAACTCTGGGTCCTCTATTTTTTCTTATTTATATAAATAATTTGAAAACATGTTAAGTACTTAAAAATATATCATTTTGCTGATAATACCAACCTCCCGATAGTAGATAATTCTTTAAAAAAGTTAAATAAATACCTAAATTATTACCTAGCATCACTGGCTCATTGGTTGTGATAAAAAAAAGCTTTAAATACCTTTTAAATGCTTCCCAAAATGAGGCATTTTTTTTTTGAATCACAAAAGCCTTGCGAATATTTAGCCCGTTATTTTTGGTTCCCATCTACACTATGGTTGTAAGATATGGGGACAAAGTTCATCCATTTATAATAAAAATACCCTTATGTATCTCCATAATAAATCATTAAGAATAATTTACTTTCAACCTAACAGTTTTAATTCTGACATTATACATAATCTTTCTCAAATTTTAAAGCTTGATAAATTTATCTACTTATCAAACTTGTATGGAACATTATCCACAATAATGCGTCCAGCTGCTTGAATAGCTATTTTAAATTCACAAATGATATTTATAGTCATAGTTATCTATCTAAAACTTAATCTATCTAAAACTTCGATCTGTATCATATTGTAGTCTACCTATTCCTTAGAAACAAACACATAAGTATGACATTAGGTTAATCAAGTATCAATCAATTCACTGTTGGAACTGTAAAATTCCTGTAAAAAATTATTCTCCAAATTGGCAAATATAAATGCCTTCCTAACCCATTTTAAAAAGTTAGTCCTCAATAAAAATAATCAATGAGCTATATTCTGTGCATTTACTCTCTTATTACTAATTATTCTCTAAATTTTTTAATAAAATAAAAATACTAAACTAATAAATTAGAAATAAAAATATAAAACTAGTAAAATATAAAACTCTTAAAACAAAACATAAAAAAAATATAAATATTCATTTAGTTTCAATAAATTCTGTTCATCCCTCTTCATCATTCTAAATACTCAAGTGAATATTATTACTGTAAAGTTTGTGGCATTGTTATAAAACGGCTAACCAGCCAGTTTGATATCCACCTGAACAGTGAGCCACATAAACTATGAGCTTTCAGTTTATGCAGAAGTCTTTTTTGCAGCACTCTGTTGAAGACTTTTACAAAATCAGTGTATATCACGCCTACAGCATAGCCATGCTATTCTGCATCCGTCAGAATGTTGCGAGTTTCTAGTAGATTAGACACACAGCTTTGCTTAGGTAAAAAACTATGTTGAGCTTTTGTGAATAGACCATTGTTATAGCAGTGCTTCATGATTCGCTCATGAATGAAGTTGTCCATTATTTTGCATGGTACTCATGTTAGTGATATTGATCTGTAGTTTGAGGCTTCCTTCTGCTACGGGTCTTGAAGATTGGTGTTATATTTAACAGTTTCCATAGATTTGGTACTTTGCCTTCAGAGAGAGACTTGCGGTAGATCATTGCTAATGGTACAAAGATTGCAGCAGCGCAATTGTAAAGTACATGAGGGTGCATTTCGTCATACCCTTTAGATTTTGTTTTGATTAGTTTTTCAAGCTTTTGCTGTACAGCATGCTGTACTGCATGTTTGATTGTAGTTTCATTTAAATCACACTTTGCTTGGGCTCGATCTCTGAAGTTTGGCATTTGATCTAGAGGCTCAACAACAAATGCAGACTGAAAATAGTTATTAAGTAAATTGAAATTCCTTGCATACTTGTAGTTATTTTTCCTGCATCGTTTTTGAGGGATTTCACCATTTCATTTTCCATTTGCTTATGCTCAACTTGGTTTTGAAGTTTTTTTGGGTCATAGTTGAAACGTGCTGCAATCTCCCTCTCATAGTCAATTGTTGCTGCTTTCACTATCTTGCTGAGTCTTTTACTTGCTACTTTGTGCTCCTTATGAATTTTCTCATGCGTTTACCTACCGGCTGCTAAGTATTTGCGCCACAGTGCTCTCTTCTCTCTCACAGCTATTTCAACTTTATGGGTGTTCCATTGTTCTTTTTTACTCTTGTAAGGTAACGTAGTTGCAGGTATGTGGATTTTCGATTGCTTTATTATTTTTTTCTATAAGTAATTTATAGTTGTCATTAGTTAAAAAAGAATTAAAGATACTTGTCCAATCAATGGCTATTATTTGTGCTGAGATGTCATCGTAGTTTGCTCTAGCCCATATATACCTCTTTTCTTTGTTGTCTGTTGTTCGGTCGTTGTTTGTTACAAATGAACCAATGATAAAGCAATGTGATTTACCTGCTGGTGTGTGACTTAGTAGCTTTTATGTAGTTTGATAATTTGGTCTGGTTCATCCGTGATAAGTAAGTCACTTCTTCTCTATTTCTTCTCTAAGTATGGAACATTACCATTTGTGTGTGGTTAAGTTCATGTTTAGACCTTGTTGGAATAACATATTACTTTAATGCTCATTTTGCACGTGGGCAACTGTTGCTGTTGCTGATATATGTATGTATGTATATATGTATTTATATATGTATGTATGTATGTATGTATGTATGTATGTATGTATGTATGTATGTATGTATGTATGTATGTATGTATGTATGTATGTATGTATGTATGTATGTATGTATGTATGTATGTATGTATGTATGTATGTATGTATGTGTGTATGTATGTATGTATGTATGTTTGTATGTATGTATGTTTGTATGTATGTATGTATATATGTACGTATGTATGTTTTGTTACAAATGAAAAAAAAATATATATATATATATATAAATAAATAAATATATATATATATATATATATATATATATATATATATATATATATATATATATATATATATATATATATATATATATAAATAAGTATATATATAAATAAATAAATATATATATATATATATATATATATATATATATATATATATATTTATTTATTTATATATCTTAATATATTAATAAAAAACAAAATTTTTTTTTTAAGTTTTTAATTAATTTTTATAAAACTATTACTTCAATATATGAAAATAACTTTTCTACAACAATATTTATTGTTGACAAAATATAGAACTGCAAATTTATTTGCAATTCTAATTTCCAACTTGATGAATATGATTATTATTATACATTTTTTTCAATGTGTCATTTTTCATGTTTTTAGCTAATTAGGGCATGCAAAATACTGTATTTGACTATTACTGGTAATACCCCAATTACTTTTTCCAATACCAGTAATACCGGTATTAAAAACAAAATAAAAACAAAACAAAATTTCTTTAGCTATTAATAATTATTTTATCATGTTAAAATAAAGTGTCTAGTGGGTTAACATCCAAACTAGACTTTATTTTGGTACAAAATATGCCAGCACCAGGCTGGACAGGAATGGCGTATAATTAAAAAAAAAAAAAAATTAATAATAATTTTTTAAACATAAATATTTTATATTAGTATAAGTTTTTTTAAAACAAATATAAATTAAGTTTTTGTCATTTCTTTACTTAGAGATATTGTAATGAAATTTCAAACCAAAGATCTATTAAGTTTAACAGAGAGGTGTGAATACAGCTACTGATTAGTAAGTCAAGTTAAAAAAAAAAGCTCAACAATTCTTTCTAAAAATAGAAAAAAATAAATAATAATAAAGCAATTAAATCATTCCATTAATTAAAAATCATTCCACATGTATTAAATAAAATTCTGGTATTAATACCTGTATTCAGAGAACAAATATGGGTAATTTCAAACCCAATTTTGCAAGCAAATACCGGTAGTACCAATAGTACCAAAATCAGTATTGCATGCTTAAGAGCTAATCAAGTAAAAGAAGTTTTGGTAAAGATTTTTCCAGTCATGGAAAATATAATAAAAATATTAGAAAAATTTATTGATTTCAGACACCTGGAGGTGGACAATACAAATGTTGAACTTAATTTAAAGGAATTTATACACATATGTATTTTTTTATTTTCAGCTATATTCTATTGTTTGAAAGTGAGAGAGATATTCAAGAATATTTTAGAAGTCTTCTTGACTTTAATCAACTTAAATCAAAACAATTTTTTGAGGAGTTTTTAAAAAGATGGAAGCCACTTGATAAGTACAAAATAAACAGTGTAGGCGGAGATTCTACTTCTGATAAAAAAAGGCATGATGATTTCTCTCAAAAGAGAAATAAAACAGCTAAAAAAGATTTAGAGGTAATTAATTTAAGTTTACATAATTTAAAGTCTGGACCATCATAGGGATGAGGTCTGATAAATTTGATGAAATACAACTTCAAAAAGTTTAATTCTAGATTCCCAAATTCAAATACATATATTCATCAAGTTTTGTAAATACAAATATTTTAACATATTATTAATGACACGTCAAATTTTATTACACAATTATTTCATCTTTTTATAGTCTTAATGGTTCTCTAGTATATTAAAAGGTCTGTTGAGTTTTCCGACAAGAAAAAAATGACAGACCCATTTAAATTCAAAATTTTGACTTGATTGATGTTTTATATAAACCAACAACGAAGTCAAAACTGTTTTTGAAAGAACTATTCTTACTAAACTTAAAATTATAAAATATTAAACGCAAACATATATGAAGAAGAAAAATGTTTTGCTCAAAGGTTGCTCTTTTTTTATTTTTGTTGCTACTAGACAACAGAGAAACAAATTGTTCAAAATTTTAAAATCAAAATGCTTTTTAATATTTTAAAAATTATTTTAATATAATAACTTTTGTTTGTATTTTATTTTACTTTAAGTATCAGATAAAATTATAGTATAAGTCTTGTATTTTTATTTGATATTTTTATCTGATGTTTTTAAGTTTTTATTATCAGACTATAAAACTTTTATAGTTTTATAATTACAATAATTGGTCTAATATATAATTTATTATATTATTATATTTCGGTGATTATCCAATAGTAAGGTGACCAACAACCTCCTTTTTTCATAAGAAAATGATTTGACAAAGCTAATTAAAATTAAGATTTTTCTCTTGCAAATTAGGTGACATTATTCACCTTACCAATTGTTAGTAACATTAGTAAAGTATGATGTAAGTTAAGATAAATAACATAAGATTGTAATAAATTAGTAGTATAAAAAAGGTTTTATTCGTTTGCTAAAACGTTATAAATAAGCTAAAAAAAAGCTGAATCTTTTGTTTAGTAAAGTAATTAAAATGGTGTAAAATCTTTTTATTATTTCTAAAATTTTGTTTTTATTCATTTATTTTTTGTTTTTATTTGAGAAATCAAGCCAAAAAAGTAGTGTTGGGCAGAAGGATTTTAAAAATGTTAATGAATTTCCCAGCAATGCCAGAAAAGACATAAAAGAAAAATATTTAGAGACAACATCCACACCATTAAAAACAACAAATGGAAATATTGATAAAGACTTTATCTCAAGTGAAGATAATCAAGTCAAGGTAGTATTATAAGTTTTTTTTTGGCTGTGTACGTGGTGTAATATTATTTATGCTCAAAATATTCAATTGCTTTAAGATAATTAATTTGTCATTTTTTCATCAGAATATCAGTTTTGGGAGAAATATTTATTAAATTTCCTTGTTTACATGTCAGTTGACCTTTCTTTTTCTTTTTGATCTATGATTTATAAACAAATATTTTTTTATGATTATTAAGTTTAAAAAAATGTAAATAAATATTAATACCAATAAGCATAATGAGTATTTGATGAAGCCATAAAGTGAAAACATAATTCAATATCTTTCTTGAAACTAAAAAAAAAAAAATTAATACATGTAGGTAGTGGATGTAAAAGTCTAGCAATAAAATTAAATGTTCAATATTTTTTAAAAAAACAGATTTTGAATAGCTTCAAACTAAAAGTACTAATTGACTCAGCATCAATTATCAGTAATTAATCAGTAAAAATGGTGTTTGGAAGGAAAGATATTAAATTACGGAACTACTGTAATTATTGTATATCAAGCCTTCCCATGAAACGCGTGCAGTTTTTCATCTTATATAACCACGCATGAGTATTTTATTTTAGACAACTTGGTCACGATCAGTTGCAAGTTTTATTATATTAGATGTTACGAAAAAAAGTTTTAAAAACAAAGAAAGCAAAACTTACAAAATAGGAAATTAAAATAAACTTAAATAGAAAAAAATTAATAATTTAGATAATTTGTGTACTTTTTTTATTTTTGTTTTTTTTAGAGTGGTTGTTATCTTCAGCAAAGAAATTTGATAAGTCAAAGCAAAAAAATAAATTGAAAATATAAATTGCCATCTTTTTGTAAAATATGTTTGTGTAATTTTAATGTAATAAGTATGTATTGTTCCCATAAGAAAACGTCTATGTAATGCATGCAAATGTCCAACTTTTCTTGTTTTTCTTTTGAATACCGCATATGTTTTCTTTTAAATACTGGTCAAATGTTTGCTTTGTAACCATTTATCTTTTCTTATTGGTATATAAAAAATCGTTTTGTTGTATGTTTTTGAATGATACACATCTCATTACATTCAGATTTCTTATACCATTTAAGCCTTTCATCATAATTTTTAAGTAAGGCGTACACACATATAGACATTTTTAAGCTTAAACATATAGACATTTTTAAGCTTCAATTAAGTAATGCCGTCTAAACATTTTTGACATAGTGTTAATTGTTGTATAATACCTTTCTTTTCCCGCACATTTTTTATCCCCAATCTTTTAGCAGAGATATGTTAAACTATTATTTTTTTTTTTGCTTTGCCTAATCTAATTTTGTTGCTGAAAATAACATTCACTCTAAAGAAACAAAAATAAAAACAGTACTCAAATTATTTAAATTATTTTTTTTAATTTAAATTTATTTAATTTTTCTATTTAAACTTACAAATGGCTGCGACCAAGGGCTTAAACATGGGCATTTAGCGGTCCATTAATAACCACTAATTTCTGTTGTGTTAAAAAACAATTTCAATTAAAATTTGTTTTGTTAAAATTTTTTAATGGTAATTTTCTGTTAACATTCATTAATTTGTTTTAATGGCTGTTAAATTCTTTAAATGGCTGTTAATTAAAAGATACTGCTAAACAGATATGTATAATTTTGAAACCAAATAAAATGTTAACTTCAGGTCAAGTTATCTTGCTAATGGTAACATGTGGCCCAGTACAACTTGCTTCATGTCCTGTTGCCTTGTAGGATATGCTTTTTTTGGCAAAGGCTAGTAGAAGAGCACTCCAACTTAAAATACCTCCTGTGTTGGGGCTCTAGGTTAAGCAAAGGCTAGAGATGGTGTCTTGATAAAAATACTCATCTTGGGTAGGCGTTAAATGCATTCGCCTACTGTCTTGTAGAAGGCCTCCTAGACAAAGACTTAAGGGGTAAACAGATTCTATCTGCTGACCAGCCTCACACCCTTTCTTCATCTATTAGGCTGGCATAGATGTATTTATAGTATATTTTTTCCAGTTTAGGATGTTGAATACTGGATCTTCTCAACTTCTTGCATATTTTTTGTTTGTGTCTCTGTTTTTTATGACTAGGCAACTTATTTTATTATCTACTAATGAGAGTACAGCTCTAAAACTTAGATTTATGGTTCTGAGTCCGGCTGGTAGTCAGGTTTCCTGAACTCTGTGGTAGCTCTCAGAAAGGCTTGATAGTAATCAGTCAATTACCTGGACTATTAAATAGTGTACTGATTACTATCTGTGATTTGAGTCAAGTTTTTTAACAAATTTGAAAATGACTAAAATACCAAAAACTACAAAACAGACAACCATTGTCATCATCAAGTTCTCTAAATCTATCATTCACTAATATTTGTGGTCTTTGAAGTAATTTTTCTTCTGTTGAGTTTTACCTTTTGCAAAGTTTACCAGACCTTCTTGCTCTTTGTGAGACTAATTTAAGTTCGGCTATCTCATGTGATCTTAGCGTTGATGGTTACCTTTAATTCGTAAAGATTCCAATAGGATTAGGTTTGAATCCACAGACTATTCTTTTATATGCTTTTGTTTAGCACCAGTTAATTCTATCGTTTTTCTCTTTGTTCTTTATCACTCTCCCTCATCTCAAGACTGCACTGGATTAAATGTTATTTCTGATCAAATTGACAAAGTCCTTTCTCTTTATTCTTTAGCTAATATTCTTGTTGTAGGTGACTTTAATGCTTAGCTTGGCTCTAGTGTCAGTGACTCTGCAGGTGTTAAGGCCCACAACTTTTGCCTTACTCAATCTTTAACATGAAAAGTCAACTTTCCAACTCGCTTTTCAGACAATCCAAATCATTTACCTTGTCTACTTGACTTATTTCTTGTTTCTGATCCTAGTCAGTGCTCAGTTTCTCCACATTCACCCTTAGGTGCTTCTGATCACAGTTTGATCTCTCTAAAACTATTAGCTCATCTCTAAAACTATTATCATCATACCTCTTACTTAAAACTGACTGGGACTCTTTTCGTGATTTTCTTTGAGATGGCCCTTGGCTAGAAATCTTTTATCTTCCTGCTGACAAACGTGCTTCTTATGTAACTTCTTGGATTCAGGCTAGCACAGAATCTTTTAGTCCTTTTCGACGGTTTCAAGTCAAACCACACTCTTTTCCATGGTTTTCCTCTCATTGTGCTCCAATCATAACCATTACTTTCATATATATCTGTAAAACAATTCTCCAGAAAAAAGGCGTCTGTTTTCTATTGCTAGAAACCATTGAAAAAAGATTTTGCCTAATGCCAAAGCCTGCTATTCTCAAGTCATAAAATCTTTTTTATCTATTAAAAAGATTTTATGACTTGAGAATAGCCCTATTTTATCTCAAAAATTAGGCTCTCGTGACTTCTGAAGAATCTTTAACAGTATCTATAATAAGGGAAAATCTGTTATTCCACCTCTCTTGTATGGTTCAGATTTTGTCACCTCACCTAAAGACAATGCTGAATCTTTTCAAGTTTTTTGAAAGTTTGCTTAGATATTCCAATCAATCTCATTTGTTAATTTCATTAGTCGCATTCTACCTAATATAGCTGACAAACTGGTTGATTCATTGCTTGACATTTGTATTCCTCCAGCTTCAAATTCGAGTAGAACTCAAGTAGCAATAGAACTCAAGTAGCAATTCAATAGAACTCAAGTAGCAATTCCCATTAGATTTCTCCCAATCATATGCAAGGTTTTTGAGTATTTAATTAGGAAACACTTATTCTCTAATCTTGAATCTAATAACTTAGTTTTTAATTATCAATATGGATTTCGGTCTTGTTGTTGTAATGCTGATTTGTCAACCATAATAAGCAATAGGTTTTATTGTGCATTAGATAGATTTGGATAGATTAAGGCAATCGCTTTTAACATTCCTAAAGCCTTTGATAAAGTTAGGCATGGTGGTCTTCTCCATAAGCTTTCTTCTTATGGTGTATCAAGTAACACCTTTAAGATTATTGAATCCTTCCTTACCAATCGTAGTATAAAAGTTGTCCTCGATAGGTAGCACTCTTTTTCATATCTAAGGTTCTATCCCTAGAGCTATACTCTTTTTAATTTCCATTAATGATCTCCTAGAAATTCTCACTTTTAAGGTGGCATTAAAAGTGGCATGCTAATGATGCTATCTTTTATTCTTGTTTTGATAAAAAGCCGCTACTCTCTTATTGCTTGGAGGGGGAATTTGAACTTGAAAAGGATCTCACTTCTGCTACAGCATGGGCAACTCAGTAGCTGGTGAACTTGAACTCAAAGTTTTTTCAGCTCATCCTTATTACATTAATCTAGATCTTCCTATATTTATGAACAGTAATGTACTCAAAGAGTCATCTACCTTTTGTCTTTGAGGAGTAACTCTTTCTTCCAATCTTTCTTAGAAACCATATATCTTATCCATTGCTTAATTATCATCTGCCAGATCAATTACCATTGCATCTCAGTATTATCCTCGCAACTTTCTTATTCTAGATTTTATTCTTTATTTCTATAAATCTTAAATCCCTCCTTGTATAGAATACTGATGCCATATCTGGAGTGGATCTTCAACTGATGCCATATCTCTTTAAAAAAAAAAATGCAAAAATGCATTTTAAACATAGTTGGGCCTGCTCGTGCCAGGGTTGGCAAAAAAACCCAACCCAAAAAAACCCAAAATATATTTGGGTTTTTTTAAAAAATGTCCTATTTTACAACTGATAACTCTGATTTTAACACTTATAAATGCTTTATTATCAGCAAGTGCAACCTTTATACTGTAATTACTCTTTTAAACACTGTATTTATATACATAATGGTATTTAGAATACATCCAAAACCGATCAATCTGTTTTTGTAGCAAGTTGGTTATTTATTATTTTTTTAAAAACATATAGCAAGTTATTATAAATGTTATTGAAATATGTATCAAAACATTAAATTAGTTAAATACTTATAAAGGAAATAAAAATCATTCTATTAACTAAATTTCAAAGTACAAG